CTCACCGCGGACTCAAATTAGACCTCGCCATCCCTGGGGGGCTGCGATCTGTGAAACTGTCGCCACTTTCGAGGCCTGCTGGGGGGCCCAGCACAGTGGGTACTCACCGCGGACTCAAATTAGACCTCGCCATCCCTGGGGGGCTGCGATCTGTGAAACTGTCGCCACTTTCGAGGCCTGCTGGGGGGCCCAGCACAGTGACGCCACCGCGGATTCAAATTAGACCTCGCCATCCCTGGGGGGCTGCGATCTGTGAAACTGTCGCCACTTTCGAGGCCTGCTGGGGGGCCCAGCACAGTGGGTACTCACCGCGGACTCAAATTAGACCTCGCCATCCCTGGGGGGCTGCGATCTGTGAAACTGTCGCCACTTTCGAGGCCTGCTGGGGGGCCCAGCACAGTGGGTACTCACCGCGGACTCAAATTAGACCTCGCCATCCCTGGGGGGCTGCGATCTGTGAAACTGTCGCCACTTTCGAGGCCTGCTGGGGGGCCCAGCACAGTGGGTACTCACCGCAGATTCAAATTAGACCTCGCCATCCCTGGGGGGGGGCTGCGATCTGTGAAACTGTCGCCACGTTCGAGGCCTGCTGGGGGACCCAGCACAGTGACGCCACACGCATATTCAAATTAGCCTTCGCCATCTCTGGGAGGTCTGCGATCTGTGAAACTGTCGCCACTTTCGAGGCCTGCTGGGGGGCCCAGCACAGTGACGCCACACGCAGATTCAAGGTAGACCTCGGCATCCCTGGGGGGGCTGCGATCTGTGAAGCTGTCGCCACTTGCGAGGCCTGCTGGGGGGCCCAGTGACGCCACACGCAGATTCATGTTAGACCTTGCCATCCCTGGGGGGCTGCGATCTGTGAATCTGTCGCCATTTTCGAGGCCTGCTGGGGGGCCCAGCACAGTGTCGCCACGCGCGGACCCAAATTAGACCTCGGCATCCCTGGGGGGCTGCGACCTGAGATCCCCGCCTTCGAAGTGGCTAGGGTTGCTCAGGGATTGTAACTAACCAGCTTTATCTAGTCCTTGTCCTGTAGCCAGTGTCCTGCGAGTGTCCCGAATTCCGTCTGCAGACATATGTTACCCTCGTTCCGTCATCGCCCCCTTTATATAGTGTCCTAAACTATTTGCGCCCCGCGTTTGCGCAGGGATTGGGTACGTCGCCAGGGTAAGTTGTTGTTTTACGTCTTTTCTGCGTATCCATTCTTAAGTGTTTTACACGTGGTTCTATATATTGAGCCTCCGAGGGGCACGAGTCCTTGGTATTATACGTGTGTTCCTATAGATTGTCCCTCTCCTGTGGCTCCAATCCGAAGTGTGTTTCGTCTGCTCCTGTAGATTGGGCCTCTCTTTGGGCAGGAATCCTCTCCAGGAGGCTCCAGGAAGCTCCTGGAAGCCCCAGGAGGCCACACGAGACTCCAGGAGGCCACAGGAAGCCCCAAGAGGCCCCAGGAGGCCCCAAGAGGTTCTAGGAGGCACCAGGAAGCTCCAGGAGGTTTCAAGAGGCCCCAAGAGGCCTTAGGCTTATGCGCAGAGACACACCGATACTATTGAGACTCATTCGTACTCCAACTCAATTGCAGTTAGATTCACTCCCAGACCGTCAATACTGAAGCCCGCTTACAACCGAAAGCTCTTGCGCCTAGACACTCACGGCTGACAGGTCCATGCTATAGATTCACATATGGGGAGTTCCACGCAGTTGATAATTTTATATCCACGGGTCTACGGGTCTCGATCGCTTCCTTGGGGGTACAGTCACTCCGACTGTAGTTACACCTCCCGGATTTGTTGATTGCTCCATAAGTTGCCGTTTGAACACATTTGATCGTCGGATGTCCGCGCGTTGGGAAACACAGTTCTTCTGTTCATTCTCCCTTCCGGGGCTCGAGCTACATGGTGGTTTTGCAATTTCGTGGACCGCTTTCGGCCCAAGACGGCCTAAGATGGCCCAATGTGGCCCAAGATGCCTTTAAGACGGCCCAAAAGGCCCCCGAGGCAACCCGGAGGCATTCTGGCTCAAGGGCAATTTTGCATCGAGCGATTCGAAGCGTGACACTTTTCATATCTGGGAACCCGCACTTCTTGACGTCTTCCGATGCCGGTCCTCCGCGGTGCTCTCTTCGCGCTGCTGGCCCTCGGTTGCCGCGCTTTGGAGGCGAAGGACAAGACCATGCTCGGAATCGATTGCACCACGTTGGGCAAGAGCGAGTGTGATTCAACAGCAGGTTGCGTGTGGCCAGCGGGTCACAGCGGTTGCTTGACGCTTCCTGCCACCGCGCCGACCTTGACACCGCCCTGAAGCGTCTGAGCGAGGCGTTTATCGTCTGCGGCCGGCGTGAGATTCCATTTCTGTTTTGGCGATACATAAAAATGATGCCCCCCCCCCCAAGACTGCCCGAGAGAGCTTCCAGAGGACCCCAGCAGGGCTCAAGTTCGTGCAATGCCAAGGAAACATGTTCGCGCATTCATCTTCGCGGGTGTCATTCAGCACGAGGTGACCCGAGGGGCCTCCACGATGGCCCCAAGACGGCCAACACGGCCGTAACATGCCCCAGTAATCTTCCAAGGCAGCCTCAAGACAGCCCAGGAGAGCCCCTGGACGGCCCAGGGAGGTCCCAAACGAGCCCCCAGCTGGCAAACGAGGTGCTGCAGATGCAGCCGGGACGGAGAGTTCCACTGTTGTCTTGGTCGTGACCTACCTCCCTAGGTGGAGATTTGGGTAGCTGCCGTTCTCGTCGGGTCCCCTGGCCACTGCACCCCCCACCTGACAGCGGCAGGCTAGTGGCGGTCAGGAGCCCTGGCCCACAGGGGATGGGACAAGGGTCAGCGATGCCTTGACGTCCGCCGATGTCATTCATGGGCTCACGCCGCACTAGCGACCCTGCGTGCGGTGCTGTGGCTTCTTGGGGCCTCCCGTTGGTTATTTTATCGCTTTGCTCATTCCGCCGGCCCACATTGCCTCGCCGCTTGGGGGCCGTGTTGGAGCCTCATGGGGGCTTCTGGGAGGCAGTTTTGAGGCCTCTTGGGGGCCGTGTTGGGGCCTCTATGGGCCTCTTGGGGTGCCTCTTGTGGCTTCTTCGGTGGCCTCTTGAGGGCCCCTTGGGGCCTCTTAGGGGCCTCTTGGGGTCTCCTAGGGGCCTCTAGGTCCTCAAAGCTGGGTTTTTTGGGGTTCCTGGTCCCCGTCTTGGGCCCCTCTTGGGGCCGTTTTGGGGCCCGCTTGGGTTATCTTGGGCGCCTCTTGGGCTGCCTTGGGGCCGTCTTGGACCGTCTTGGGGCCCTCTTGGAGGCTTGGGCCGTCTTGGGGTCCTCTTGGGCCGTCTCGGAGCGTTGGAAAGCCGAACAACCGAACGGTTTTCCGAGGGACATGGGACGATGGTTGCTTGCTCAGGCCCTCGTGGAGAGCCTCTTGAGGCTCTCTTGGGGCTTTTTCGCTAACTCTGGGGCCATCTGGGGACCAGCTTGAGCGCATTGGAGCGATCCTTCCGCGGCTCGGAGCCTCTTGGGCTCTTGGGCCGTGCATCATGGGGGCGCCTCGGCGCCCTGTTGGCACGCTCCCGGGGCGCCGTGGGGGAGTCGGCCAGGCATCGGCCAGGGTGCTTTTCGCCCAGGGGCCCCATGGTGGCCGCCACGCGCGCGCGAACTAGAACAAATTGTTGACTTGTTACCGGAGATCGTAGTACGCCTCTGGCCCGTTACGCCGGCGAATTTGAGGGCCTGCTGGCGGCCCCGGGGATTTCTTCGGGGCGGAGCGTCCGACATGTCATGGCGAGTTCTTTCTCTTGCCAGAGGAATCCAAGCGAATCCTGAGGCGCATGCGTTTTGTTCCAATCCGCGGGTCTACAGGTCTCGACCGCTTCCCTGAGGGGTTACACCTCCCTGATCCTTTTGTTGATGGCTCCAGAAGTCGCCGTTTGAACAAATTTGATCGTCGGATGTCTGGGCGTTTGGAAAACGCAGTTTTTCCGCTCACTCTCCCTTCCAGGACTCGAGCTACACGGTGGTTTGGCAATTTCGTGGACCGTTTTCGGCCCAAGACGGCCCGCGATGGCCCAAGGTGGCCCCAGATGGCTTCAAGACGGCCCGAAAAGCCCTCAAGGCAACCCGCGTCCGGAGGCATTCTGGCTCGAGGGCAATTGTGCATCGAGCGATTCGAAGCGTGACACTTCTCCTGTCTTGAACCCGCATTTCTTGACATCTTCCGATGCCGTTCCTCCGCGGTGCCCTCTTCGCGCTGCTGGCCCTCTGTTGCCGCGCTTAGGAGGCGAAGGACAAGACCATGCTCGGAATCGACTGCACCACGTTGGACAAGAGCGACTGTGCTTCAACGGCAGGGTGCGTGTGGCCAGCGGGTCACAGCGGGTGCTTGACGCTTCCTGCCACCGCGCCGACCTTGACACCGCCCTGACGCGTCTGAGCGAGGTGTTTATCGTCTGCGGCCGGCGTGAGATTCCATTTCTGTTCTGGCGATACACAAAAAAGAGAGCTTCCCCAAGACTGCCCGCAAGGGCCACCAGAGGATCCCAGCAGGGCCCGAGTTCGTGCAATGCCCAGGAAACATGTTCGCGCATTCATCTGCTCGGGTGTCCTTCAGTACGAGGCGGCCCGAGGGGCCTCCACGATGGCCCCAAGGCGGCCAAAGCGGCCGCAGCATGCCCCAATAATCTTCCAAGGCAGCCTCAAGACAGCCCAGGAGAGCCCCTGGACGGCCCAGGGCGGTCCCAAACGAGCCCCCAGCTGGCAAACGAGGTCCTCCAGATGCACCTGGGACGGAGAGTTCCACTGTTGTCTTGGTCGTGACCTACCTCCCTACGTGGAGATTTGGGTAGCTGCCGTTCTCGTCGGGTCCCCTGGCCACTGCACCCCCTACCTGGAAGCGGCAGGCTGGTGGCGGTCAGGAGCCCTGGCCCACAGGGGATGGGACAAGGGTCAGCGATGCCTTGACGTCCGCCGATGTCATTCATGGGCTCACGCCGCACTAGCGACCCTGGAGCCAAGGAGCCAAGGAGAGCACCTGGGCATCCCGGCAGGCCTGTACGACCTCAGCGACGAGAGCAGCGGCGTGAAGGTCAGCGCGTCCTCCGGGGGGGGCGGGGCATTCAGGGAGGGTAACACTTGGGATCGACCAGGGGGGAGAGCGAAGCGGAGGATTGCGGAGGAGGACGGAAGACGGCGGGGATGAGGGGAGGAGCAGCAGGAGGAGGAGAAAGAGGAGGAGGAGGAGGACGAGGACGAGGACGAGGACGAGTGGAGGAGGAGGAGGAGCAAGAGGAGGAGGAGAAGGAGGAGGAGGAGGGTGAGGAGGGGAGCAGGGGGAGGAGGGGGTGGCGGGAGGAGAAGGACAAGGAGAGGAGAAGGAGGAGGAGGAGGAGGACGAAGGACGGAGGACGGAGGACGGAGGACGGAGGACGGAGGAGGAGGGGGTGGCGGGAGGAGGAGGGAGGAGAAGGGAGGACGAGCGGTTGCTGGAGGATGGGCGGACGCGGAGGAGGGGGAGGAGGAGGGGAGGAGAGGAGGACCAGGACGAAGACGCGGACGCGGAGGAGGAGGAGGAGGTGGAGGAGGAGGACGGAGGACGGGGGACGGAGGACGGAGGACGAGGACGTGGAGAAGGGGAGGAGCAGCAGGAGGAGGAGGAGGAAAGCGGAGCAGGGGCAGGAGGAGAAGGAGGAGGAGCAGGAGGAGGAAGAGCAGGAGCATGATGATGATGAGATGATGATGATGATGATGATGAGGAGGGGAGGAGGAGGAGGAGGAGGAGGAGGAGGAGGAGGAGGAGGAGGAGGGAGGGGGAGGAGGGGAGGAGGGGGAGGCGAAGGAGGAGGAGAAGAGGAGGAGGGTTGGCGTGGCGAGAGGAGGAGGGAGGAGGAGTGAGGACGGGCGGTTGTTGGAGGAAGGGCGGACGAGGAGGAGGAGGAGGAGGAGGAGGAGGAGGAGGCGGAACATGTGGTGGTTCCTTCTGGGGTCCGCGTTCCAAGGAAGTGGCAAGTGGAGGCGGAGGTGGGAGGAGGGAGGTGGGGGATATGGCTGTGGAGGGAGCGGGACCACGCAGAGAAGCAGCACTGCGAGGGCAGCAGGGATCGACGGGGGGGGGGCGGGAGGGAGGCATCGGCGGGCACGGTCAGCACCCAGGTTTGAGCGGGACTTCTAGACTTCACTCGATCGCTCGCGTCTGTGATGTCTCCAGCGGCCTCCAGGAATACCTGGGACGCACAGCCGTTCGGGGGCAATTTCGGTGAGGTGAAATGCAGCATCGGCGCTGGTAGATCCGTAATTGGAAACCTACTTGCCTGATCTGGCACAATCCTGTTCAATCCTACACGTTGCCGCTTCATCCTGCTTAATACGGCTTAATCTCCACTTAATATCGTCTAGTCCCACTGACGTTGGTTCAGTTCGGGTTAATCCCCCGCGTCCTCAATCGCTCTTGCGAACCCCCAGGAGTTGATTCCTAATAGCCGAGACCTGGGACTCGGCGTCGACGTCGGAAGTGGTTGATGAGGGACCCCGTGTGCCCTCTCTGGGCATTCGCTCGCACGTACGGGCGCACTTGGAGCCAAGCGGCAACTTCTGTCATTGTCGAAGACGCCTACGGCGAATCACCGTCGCCGCCTGCCTTTTAAAGGTACGCCTGTGTGGCCAAACGTTTGGGCAAAGTCTGGCCACGCTGTTGGGCCATGCGCTCACCCAGCCGTCGTGGGAGCGCGTGGGGAGGAAGGGGATGATCAGGAGAGAGGGAGGACAGAGGAGGAGGAGGAGGAGAAGGGTGATGAGACCTCATTGGGAGCTTCCTGGGCCCTTCTTGGGGCCTCGTGGGAGCTTTCTGGGGGCCTCCTGGAGGCCTGTCGGGGGCGCCCATTTGGCTTCCTGGGGTGCTTTGGGGGCCTTTGGGGGGGCCCCTGTGGCCGTCTTACGGCGTTCCTGGCCCGTCGGACGCCGTCTTGGGAGCGCCTTTGGGCCGTCTTGGGGCCTTTTTGTGGCGCTTCAGGGTCGTCTCGAAGACAATCTTGGGTGTCTTGGAGGCCTCTTGGGCTGTCGAAAGGCACGTTTGAAGCACATGCCCAACTCCTTCCAAAATCAACGGAAAACAATGATTTTGACCTTCGGTTTTCCCTGGAGGCCTCTTGGGCCATCTTGGAGGCCTCTTGGGAGTGGGCCATCTTAGGCCGTCGTGAGTGCATCTTGGGCCGTCTTGGTCACATGTTTCGACCATCTAGGGCTCTTCTAGGGCCATCTTGGTCGTCTGAGGGACCATCTTGGCCGTCGTGGAGGCCATCTGAAGCCATCTTGAGCGAAAAGCCAACGGGAGGTGCGTTTTCCAGGTGGCTGGCGGGCTTGTCCGAAGCCTCACGGGGAGTTCTTTTTAGAAAAGAAACAAGAGTTTGTCATACATTTGGTACGCCGTGCATCCCTGTGGCAAGCCAAAAGGGGCGGCGGATCTAGTGGCCTTCGGCTCATCCCGCCACCGTGCTTTGGTTGCAGGTCAGAGGCTTCTTGGCGCCCTCTTGGCCCATCTTGTGGCCCGTGCAGGCCCGAACAAGTCATGCGGGAAGACGCTCCGGGCGCGCTGGGAGCCCCGAGATATGTGGATCTAAGGTCCCTGATGGCAGGGCTTCGACTGGAGGGAGGGAGGACAAACGAGTGAAATGGAAGGGGGACGGAGCGAGGAGCATGAGGAATACAAGTATGATATGGAGGAGGAAGAGGAGCAGGAGGAGGAGGAGCAGGAGGAGGAGCAGGAGCAGGAGAAGGAGGTCAGAGTGGGAGGGGGATGGATTATGCAAGCTGCAAGAGCCTGGTTGTCTTCCTTCGATTATTAGCGGGCTTTTGAATGTAGCATCAGCGAATGAAGAGGGGGGGGGATGAGGAGGGTGTAGGAGGGCGGAGGGGGGAGGGATGCGGGAGGAGACGAGGAAAGGTAAGCAACAGGATGCGGAGGAGGGAGGCGGAGGAGGGAGGATTAGGAGGTAGGAGGAGGAGGAGGAGGAGGAGGAGGAGGAGGAGGAGGAGGAGGAGGAGGAGGAGAAGGAGGAGGAGGAGGAGGAGGAAGGACGACGAGAATAGAAAAATCAATGTATTGAATTATTTCGGGGTTCTGGCATGTGGACAGACTCTGCGGGCTCCCGTCAACCAACCTAGCTCAGACGTCCGAGCTGTCGATGGGTCTTGGGGCCCCGCACAGGAAAAGTCGGGTCATCGGAGGTCTGAGGACCGGGAGGGAGGATGGATGAAGAGGGAGGGAGGCAGGGAGGGGGAGAAGGGGGAGGAGGGGATTGGGAGGAAGGTGAGGAGGAGGAGGAGGAGGAGGAGGAGGAGGAGGGGGTGGGATAGGGAGGGGGAGGCAGATGGGCGGAGGAGGAGGGGAGGTCGAGGGGGATGAAGAGGGAGGCAGGACGGGGAGGTGCGAGGACGCAGGACACGAGAGAGTGTCAGTAGGATGAGGTGGAGGAGGATCAGCAGGAGTTCGAGAAGGATGAGGATGTAGATCCAGGAGTTCTATTTTTTTGACGTCCCACTGTCTGGCATCTTCCACATCAGCTCCCCAGCTTCCCTGCCATATCCGTCTCCCCATCTTCTCCCACTCCTTAATCCACTGGCACGCCCTCCCCGCTTGTTCCCCCAGCATCCGTCTCGATCGTTTCACGATGCTGCTTGGATGTCATGGGGGTGCCTCGAGGGCGCTCGTGGGCACACCGTGCCCAGGGTGGGCAGCATCGCTTACACAGCAGAGGTCACGCCGCATAGCTCGCACGGCATAGCTTACACAACATAGTTTACACCATACAGGTCGCTCCGCGCAGCTTCCACCCCCATTCCGCGGTGCAGCACCTCATTGTTGTGGGTCTACGCTGGCTAAACTGCTTTCATAATTTTCGATCCTCTCGCGATAACAGCCGTTACCGCGGGGGAGGGGGCCGTAGTGGACCCTGGAAACGGCAGGACCGTGCTCTGTGAGCACTTGTTTGATGCAGTTGCCCTTTTACAAAGAACACGGCGAGTGAAACTGTTCACCGAAACGGCCTGGGTATTTCGGAATGGGTCCAGAAACGATTCGGATCTGATTAAAAGTATGAGATCTGGACCATGCCCCACCAGGGGAAACAGAAGCAGTAAAACAATGGTACCGCAACGTTAGGACGCAGTAGCAAATCAATGGGAAAACACAGCATGGTAAAATCAATGTCTTGTCGTTTGAAAGGGCCACGAACCCCATAAAGTTTGTTGTTTGGGTGCCATGCTTCTCTCGGCGGTGAATCAAACTGATCCCCCCTCTTCCTCCTGCTCCTCCTACTCCTCCTCTTCCTCTTCCTCCCCCTTCTACTCCTTTTCCTTCTCCTCCTCAGATTTGTTCTCCTCGTTGATGTTTGATTTCTCATACGATTGCGACCGACTACTACTACTAATACTGCTGCTGCTACTACTACTACTACTACTACTATTATTACTGCTACTACTACTACAACTACTACTACAACAACTACTACTACTACTACTACAACTACTACTACTACTACGACTACTACTACTACTACTACTACTACTACTACTACTACTACTACTTTTTACTACTACCACCACCACCACTACTACTACTACTACTACTACTACTACTACTACGAATGCTGCTACTACTACTGCTACTATGGCTACTACTACTACTACTACTACTACCACGACTATTAGTGCTACTACTACGACTACTACCACGAGTACTACTACTATTACTACTACTACTACTACTGCTACTACTACTACTACCAGGACTACGACTGCTACTACGACTACGGGTATTACTACTACTACGACGGCGACGACGACGACTACTACTACTACTACTACTACCACGGCTCCTACTACTATCACTGCTACGACTTCCATTCTCATTATTAGTATTAAAACTGTTACTAACTACGACGACTACTAACTCCCACGTGCTCTTTTGCTACCATTCTCACGTTTTATTTCCACCGCCACGACGAGACTACTACTACTACTAGTACGGCTACTGCTACTGCCACTCCCATTACCTCTACCACTACCACTACTAACACCATCACTATTGGTCTTACTGTTATTACCACGACTACTACTAATACTACTACTACTACTACTACTACTACTACTACTACGACTACGACTACTACGACTACTACTACTACTACTACTGTTACTACTACTACTACTACTACTACGACTACTACTACTTACTACTTACTACTTACTATTTACTACTACTACTACTGATACTACTACTACTACTACTACTACTACTACTACTACTGCTAGTATCACTAGTATAGATCGTACTAGTGTTGTTATTGCTACTACTACCTCCAACTACTAGTGCATTGCTACTACCACCACTACTACTTCTACTAGTACTACGGCTCTTGCGGCGACTAGTACTATTAATATAATTAGAATTGTTGTTCATACGAATGCTAGTTTTATTGCTGCTCCTATTGGTACTACTACTACTACTACTACCACCACTGCTACGCCGATTAGTACTGCTGCTCCGATTGTTGCTGCTGTTGAAATACCTGCAATTGCTTCTGTCTATACGCCACAACTGCTGCTACCACTATTATTTGTACTACTACTGCCACCACTACTTATTACAACTATTATTACTACTACTACTACTACTTTTACTACTACTACTACTACTCTTACTACTTCTGCAATCACCATTATAACTACTACGACGACTACGACGATTGCAACTACAACCACGACGCCTACTATTGTTATTACGACTACCACTATGGCTACTATTCCTACTCTAAATACGATTGCTATGACGATTGCGAATTTTTCGGCCAGGACTGCGATTATTACCATGGTTTTTATTTTCTTATTACTACTACTACTACTACTACTACTATTTCCTCTACTCTTACTACTACGGCGACGACGATTACCACTACTCCTACTACTACTACTACGGTGACGACGATTACTGCTACTGCCGGTAGTTTTACCACTACTTCTACTACTTCTACTACTACTACTACTACTACTACTACTACTTCTACTTCTACTTCTACTACTTCTACTACTACTATTACTACCTGTAGTTTTGTTTTTTTCTATTGGTACTGCTATTACTCGTACCCCTACTACTACTACTGCTACCACTACTACAAGTACTTCTATACCTGCGTCTCCCACGACTATTTTTTGTACTGCGATTAGTTTTCTTAGCAGTTGTAGTAGTAGCAGTAGTCGTACTACTGCTACTACTACTACTATCACTACGAGCTCCTATCACTACTACTACTATTATTTCGACTCCGATTTCTTCTACTACGACTACTACTACTACTACTACTACTACTACTGGTACTAGTACTAGTTATTAGTACTACTACTACTACTACTACTACTACTACTACTACTACTACTACTACTACTACTACTACTACTTCTAGTTTAACATTATTACGCCGACCGACGACTGCTATTGTTACCACTGCTACTATCAGCATTTCTTCATTGTTATTACTACTACGAGTACTACTATTTCTACTACTACTACTACTACTACTACTACTACTACTACTACCACCACTACGACTACGATTACTACTACTACCCAGTATTATCATATAAAAGGCAAAACGAAGAGATGAAGGACGGGGAGGCCCTCGTGGTTGTTGTCGTCGCCGTCGTCATCGTTGTCGTAATCGCGGTGGAGGGCGGGCTGCAGAGTGTTGACGGTTTGTTTCTCCCAGAACATCATGTTCTTTGGGCAATTATGAACACGCGTGTAAGAAGGGACGACAGACTTTATTCTTGAGGTGCATATGGCGATGATGAGTTGGAAGTTTGTGACAAACCCCCTTCCCCCGCAGAATCTTAACACGGGCGGGTTCCCAGGTCCGCGGATCCAATTTTTTCCTTTTCCGTGTTTTAATTTAGTCATACATTCAAAACGGGGTAGAAATCGGACCCGCTGTAAAAAATGAGACCAGACACGGATCCTGCAAATCTGGAATCGGATTTGCGCGGACGGAAATCCGATCCACCGACGCAATTGCCAACGCCACAGTTGGATCCGCGCGAATTTTACGGGATCCGACGGCGGTTATGTCATGCGCGTTTGCTCAAGACTTGAAGCCGTCGTTCTGGGCCCAAGGGGAACAACTTTTCGTCCTGGGGATGTAGGTCGACACATTCTTCGCCCAAGGCGCTGCTAACAATCTCCTCTTTCACCTCGTCGCCGTCGTCGTCGCTGTTGTGCGGCGGGTGCCGCCGATGAATAGTTATTTGCCGCTACTGGGGGGGGGCCCCAGTCATTCAATAAGGAAGGTCGCCGAATCAATAATCAATTACCTCCGATTGGGGGAAGGATTGCAAAAAAACGAAGGATTGCAAAAAACGAAGGATTGCAAAAAAAACCTTTTTGCAATCCTTCGTTGCAATCCTTCGTTTTTTTGCAATCCTTCGCATCTACAGACCCTCATGGGTGAAGGAGGCGGCCAGCAACGTAAAAGAGGCGTGGCGGCGCGATCGTGTTCGACCCCTATCTGCCCAGGCCTCCCCCATTGGATCTGAGTAGACGGGGTCGGAGGATCGCTCCGCATCGCCGATGCGGCTCGACGAGGAACCAGAGCTTCTTCATGCCGATGTCGCCGATGCATCGCCGACGCATCGCCGATGCGCTGGCGGTGCGGCGCGACCCTCGGACCCCATTTCTCGGACCCCCTTCGGGAGGCTTCGAACCTACGCCAACCCATCTGGGAGGCAGGGCGCGAGCTGAGTAGTGTTTGGACGATGCCGTGGGCGGTGTTCGGTTTGAGCTTCTTCTGCAGCAGAGGCGGACCGAAGACAGAGCGAGGGAAAGCGATGACAGAACGAGCACAGAACACATTGTTTAGCCCGCGCCCTGCTAGGAGGCCTTGAATCCAAGCCAGTCCCATCTGGGAGGCCTCTCCGACGGTGTGAGGTAGGTTCGCGTCGTGTCGACCAGCGGCGACCCCTTCTGGCCTTCATCGTTAAACGCCGCGGGCGACCCAGAATCGGTTGATATTGAACCATCAGACGTTTTGTAAACGGCCGATCGTTCAAGGTTGAACGATCCCACCGGTGTCAGAAACCAACGCCGAAGTCGGTACGACGCGAACCCGCCGTACCTCAAACAGCGGCGAGGCGTCTTGGCTTACCTACGGGCCCGCCAGAACATGTTATAAGAGTCTTTTGCAATTTGCACGAAATGTTCTTACAACATTTCGGCCTGAGACCGTCGTGCTTTGGCACGCTGGCTACGTGCTCTGAGAGCACTCCTCGTCTCTTGCTGCCACACGTGCCTTGTGTTCTGAGGACCTGTCGTGGTAGGCCTGCAGGGATGTCTGGGGCGGCGGGTCCCTGCTCACGTTGCGGCTCGGGAGACCGGGATCAAAATGCAAACGGGGGGTAAGTCCAAGCGCCGGATCTTGCGGGATCTTGCGGGGCCAGGGGCAGCTCCCCGACTTGCAAGTGCCGCTCTTCGCCCTCAGGTGTAAGTCGGGCCTGCCCCTCGTCAGGAGGAATATGTCAAAGATAGGCAAAACATCGTCTGGGGACGATTGTTTGATTATTGTTTGGCCATTCTTGGTAATTTGTGGGGTATGTTTTTGATTTTTTCCACGAAAATCTCCCTGTAGGGGGGAACAGGCCCGACCGAACCCCAGGTCGGCGGGCCGCCACAGCAGCCCCGGCCGCCCTACGGCGGCGGCCCGCCGGGTGCGGGCCTGTGCTGCGGTTGACGCGGCCCGCGATAGGGGCGCGCGGGCACGCCCGCAGCGGCTCGGGCCGGGGGAGGAAGAGGTGCCGATGCCTTGGAGGGCCGAGTCCGCCTGCTTTTGGAGTCAGTATCAAGCAGTGGCGAAGCGTCCTGGCTCGCCTATAGCCCTACCTAACAATGTTCTAAGAGCCTTTTGCGGATTCCACGAAATGTTCTTCGAACGGTTCTGGCGGAGCCTGTCTTGTTTTATCACATCGGGCTTATGTTCTAAGAACATTGTTTGGGCTCTTAGAACATGTCTTGGTTCTAAGAACATTTCGTGGTAGGACTACAGGAATGCTGGGACGGTCGGTCCCTGCTCAACAGTATCGTTTCACCGACCCCCAGCCCCGTCTCCTCGTCCCCTTCGAGGCCCCCCCCCTGGATTGCCACCCCAGCAGGGGAGGCACCCCCCTCGGAACCCGAAAGGAACGGTCAGTATCCCCTATCTAGGGGGGTAGCTCGGCCAGTGGGGCCCAGGCCACGCCGCTGGGGATGGGGGGCCGGACGAAAGGGGGGGATTGGGAAAGGGGGGGTTGCGAAATCTGCTGCATGCAGCTGGTTTCGGCCCCACCGAGGGGCCCATTCCTGGGCCCATTCCTCGATACATAGCAGCATCCGGCGGCGGGAAGCGCCGGGAAAATTAGCGCTACGTCAGCTGATTCTCAACCCCCCCTTTTGCTATCCCCCCCTTTCGCCCGGCCCGAGGATGGGGGCTTACCTCGGCGGAGCAACTGGGCCGAGGCCGCGGAGCAACTGAAACCAAGCGGCGGAGCAACTGACACCAACCGGAGGAGCGGCGGAGCAACTGAGCCAGTTGTTGGCCCAGTTGCTCCGCCCGCCCATCTCAGTTGCTCCGCCCGCCCCCCGTCCCCCCTGCGCCTCTGGGGCAGTCTCAGTTGCACCTGGGGTGGTTGCAGTTGCCGCAACAGAACCCAAGCGGCGAAGGGCGTGGAGGAGGGGGGGGAGGCGGAGGAGCGGAACGGGAGAGGAGGAGGAGGAGGAGGAGGAGGAGGAGGAGGAGGAGGAGGAGGAGGTGGAGGAGGGCTATCGGAAGCGAGCGGGCGAGAACGCAAATAACATTGATTTTCTATGGGTGTTTGAAAGTTTTTGGCTTCTTGAGCCTCCTTGGGAAGCTTTTTGGACTCCTGGAGCCGTCTCGGGGCGGTCTTGGGCCCTGTTGGAGCGTCTTCGGGGCCATCTTGAGGAATCTTGCGCCATCTTGGGCGAAACAGTACCCTCTGGCACCTCGCGGGGCGCCTCTTGGGCCCGTCTTGGGGTGCCTCTGGGCCCCTCCGAGGGCCCTGGGAAGGGTGCAAGAGGGCCCCTAGAGGGCTCCCAGAGGCCCCCAAGGGGGCTCCAAGAGGCCCCGAAGAGGGCCCAGGAGTACATTATAAAACAAGCTGTTTTTATAAGCTGGCCTGGTGCCCTCTTGGGCCCGTCTTGGGGCGCATTTGAGCCCCCCCTGAACGCCCTGGGAAGAGCCCAAGAGGGCCCCTACAGGGCTCCCAGAGCCCCCCAAGAGGGCTCCAAGAGGCCCCCGAAAGGGTCCAGGAGTACGTTCTAAAACAGGCTGTTTTTATAAGCTGTCCTGGTGCCCTCTTGGGCCCGTCTTGGGGCGCCTTTGGGCCCCTCCGAACGCCCTGGTGCGGGTCCAAGAGGGCCCCTACAGAGCTGCAGGAGGCCCCCAAGAAGGCTCCAAGAGGCCCCCAAGAAGGCCCCGCAGTACCTTACAAAACAAGCTGTTTTTATAAGCTGTCCTGGGGCCCTCTTAGGCCCGTCTTGGGGCGCCTCTGGGCCTCTCGGAAGGATATGGGAAGGGTCCAAGAGGGCCCCTAACGGGCGGGTCGGGTCGGGCCGGGCGGGACATTAAAGTATGATGCATCATCGAGTTGGCACGCGAGTACCCTAACGGGCGGGTCGGGTCGGGTCGGGCGGGCGGACCCTAACGGGCGGGTCGGGTCGGGTCGGGCGGGACATTAAAGTATGGTGCATCACCGAGTTGGCACGCGAGTGCCCTAACGGGCGGGTCGGGTCGGGTCGGGCGGGCGGACCCTAACGGGCGGGTCGGGTCGGGCCGGGCGGGACATTAAAGTATGGTGCATCATCGAGTTGGCACGCGAGTACCCTGACGGGCGGGTCGGGTCGGGTCGGGCGGGACATTAAAGTATGGTGCATCACCGAGTTGGCACGCGAGTGCCCTAACGGGCGGGACGGGTCGGGTCGGGCGGGCGGACCCTAACGGGCGGGGCGGGTCGGGTCGGGCGGGACATTAAAGTATGATGCATCATCGAGTTGGCACACGAGTACCCTAACAGGCGGGACGGATCGGGTCGGGCGGGCAGACCCTAACGGGCGGGACGGGTCGGTTCGGGCGGGCGGACCCTAACGGGCGGGACGGGTCGGGTCGGGCGGGCGGTCCCTAACGGGCGGGTCGGGTCGGGTCGGGCAGGACATTAAAGTATGATGCGACATCGAGTTGGCACGCGAGTACCCTAACGGGCGGAACGGGTCGGGACGGGCGGGCAGACCCTAACGGGCGGGTCGGGTCGGGTCGGGCGGGCGGGCCCGAACGGGAGGGTCGGGTCGGGCCGGGCGGGACATTAAAGTATGGTGCATCGCCGAGTTGGCACGCGAGTGCCCTAACGGGCGGGTCGGGTCGGGTCGGGCGGGCGGACCCTCACGGGCAGGTCGGGTCGGGTCGGGCGGGACATTAAAGTATGTTGCATCACAGAGTTGGCACGCGAGTACCCTAACGGGCGGGACGGGTCGGGTCGGGCGGGCGGACCCTAACGGGCGGGCCGGGTCCGACCCTAACGGGCGGGTCGGGTCGGGTCGGGTCGGGCGGGACATTAAAATATGATGCATCATCGAGTTGGCACGCGAGTACCCTAACGGGCGGGTCGGGTCGGGTCGGGCGGGCGGACCCTAACGGGGCGGGTCGGGTCGGGTCAGGCGGGCGGACGCTAACGGGCGGTCGGGTCGGGTCGGGCGGGACATTAAAGTATGGTGCATCATCGAGTTGGCACGCGAGTGCCCTAACAGGCGGGACGGATCGGGTCGGGCGGGCAGACCCTAACGGCGGGACGGGTCGGTTCGGGCGGGCGGACCCTAACGAACGGGACGGATCGGGTCGGGCGGGCGGTCCCTAACGGGCGGGTCGGGTCGGGTCGGGCAGGACATTAAAGTATGATGCGACATCGAGTTGGCACGCGAGTACCCTAACGGGCGGGACGGGTCGGGTCGGGCGGGCGGACCCTAACGGGCGGGTCGGGTCGGGTCGGGCGGGCGGACCCTAACGGGAGGGTCGGGTCGGGCAGGGCGGGACATTAAAGTGTGGTGCATCGCCGAGTTGGCACGCGAGTAACCTAACGGGCGGGTCGGGTCGGGTCGGAGGAACAGGCGGAGGAACAGGAGGAGGCGGCGGCGTCGACGAGACGGCGGCTGCCCTGCCCGCCGCCCGACGCCCCGCGCGCCGCTCCCCCGCCGCGCGTGCCCACCACGACGACCACGACGACGACCACGACGACGACGACGACGACGACGGCGGCGGCGGCGGCGACGACGACGACGACGACCACGACGACCACGACGACGACGACGACGACGACGATCACGACGACGACGGCGACTACGAGGGGGATAATGATGAGCCCGTTCTTCCCGGCCGTAAGCGTCCTTACGGCCGGGAAAAAAAAACACGACGACGGCGACGACGACGACCGCGACGACGACCACGACGACGACGACGACAGCGACGGCGACGACGACGACCACGACGACGACCACGACGACGATGACGACGACGGCGACGACGGCGGCGGCGGCGGCGGCGACGACGACGACGACGACGACGACGACGACGACAACCACGACGGAGGGGGTGGAGCCAGCTCCCCGCTCGAGATTTCCGCGGGCCACTGCGACAGGCCACATCGCCGTCCCACTTCCGACCCTCGTCGTCGCCGCCGCCGTCGTCGTCGCCGTTTCCGTCGCCGCCGCTGTCGCCGCCGCTGTCGCCGCCGCCGCCGCTGTCGCCGTCGCCGTCGCCGACGCCGCCGTCGTCGTCGTCGTTTTTCGTTGAGGATCGAACTTCGAGGTCCGAGAAGGTTTTTGCTGGGTTTTTAGGTGTTCTCGGCCTCGGGAGGCCGTTTTCGGGCCCCGGGACTGGGGCGAAAAATTCCGTTCTGGGGGTGCTGGAATCGCCACGAACGGCCGCCGGAGAGCCGACGGCGTGTCGCTGGGGAGGCGACGGCGGCGGCGGCGGCCCGCCGCGGTCCGTGTCGCTGGGGAGGCGACGGCGGCGGCGGCGGCAGTGGCGACGACGACGACGACGACGACGACCAATACGACGACGATGACGACGACGACGATGACGACGACGACGATCACGACGACGACGGCGACTACGAGGGGGAGAATGATGAGCGCGTTTTTCCCGGCCGTAAGCATCCTTACGGCCTGAAAAAAAACACGACGACGACGACCACTACGACGACGACGACGACCACGACGACGACGACGACGACCACGACGACGACGACGACGACGACGGCGACGGCGTCGACGACAACGACGACGACGACGACGACGACGACGACGGCGGCGGTGACGGCGACGGACAACTGGTGCGTTTGGACCCCGGGAGGGCTCTGGGGACCCGTCTTTGGGCCCCTCCGAGGTCTCTGGGAAGGGTCCAAGAGGGCCCCTAGAGGGCTCCCAGAGGCCCCCAGAAGGGGGCTCCAAGAGGCCCCCAAGAGGGCTCAGGAGTACGTTATAAAACAAGTTGTTTTTATAAGCTGTCCTGGGGCCTTCTTGGGCCCGTCTTGGGGCGCCTCTGGGCCCCTCCGAGGGCCCTGGGAAGGGTCCAAGAGGGCCCCTAGAGGGCTCCCAGAGGCCCCCAGAGGGGGCTCCAAGAGGACCCGAAAAGGGCCCAGGAGTACGTTATAAAACAAGCTGTTTTTATAAGCTGTCCTGGGGCTC